AGGTATTTTGAGGCACCTCAAAAGTCGGTGTGGGTGTGGGTGTGGGTGTGGGTGTGGGAGTGTGGGTGTGAGTGTGGGTGTGGGTGTGGGTGTGGGTGTGGGTGTGGGTGTGGGTGTGGGTGAGTGTGGGTGTGAGTGTGGGTGTGAGTGTGGGTGTGGGTGTGAGTGTGGGTGTGAGTGTGGGTGTGAGTGTGGGTGTGAGTGTGGGTGCGAGTGTGGGTGTGAGTGTGGGTGTGAGTGTGGGTGTGAGTGTGAGTGTGGGTGTGAGTGTGGGTGTGTGTGGGTGTGAGTGTGGGTGTGAGTGTGGGTGTGAGTGTGGGTGTGGGTGTGAGTGTGGGTGTGAGTGTGGGTGTGGGTGTGGGTGTGGGAGGCGATGCCACAGGAGCAGCTTTGCCCCTCTTGAAGCTAACGAGTGGGTGTAATAAAAGCATGCAGTGCATGCAGTAACCAGAACACACCATCTTGTGGTGGTGGGAGTGCGTGTGTGATGCATGTAACGCATGTAGTGCATGCAGTAACCAAAACATATGATCTCGTGGTGGTGAGAGTGCACGTGTGATGCAGGTATTCATGCATCAACCAGAACATACGATGTGGTGGGAGTGGGCGGGAGCCGACGCCACAGGAGCGGCTTTGTCCCTCTTGAAGCTGACTCGTTTAGAGTAGAAACACTTGACTCCGCTCCACCAGTCCAGCCCCCCGGCCTCCTCACATGCCGCCACTCGCACCGCCATCAGCAGCTGCCTCAGCAGCATCTGATCCTCCCGGGTGCTGTGTAAGGGGGGGGAAAGGGAGCATATGAGGTGGGAGGGGAGAGGACAGGAAGGGAGTGATTCAGTGCGTGCTATCACCAGTCGCACCGCCATCAGCAGCTGCCTCAGCAAAACATCTGATCCTCCCGCGTGCTGCATGGGAGGGAGGGAAGGGATGGGAGGGAGGGACGGGCGGTGAAGAGGAAGAGAGTGAGTCAAGTCAAGGCATGCATTCACTTGACTCCGCTCCACCAGCCCCACCCCTCCGCCTCCTCACACGCCGCCACTCTCATCGACGCCACTCTCTCCCTTGGCTTCTCTTGGCGCTCAAACCTACTCTGGAACGTGGGGGTCGCCTCTTCTGAAGTACCGCCTCAACACCACCCACCTCTCAGGACTGGTGAGCCAGCTGAGGATAGTCGGAACGGACTCGGAGCAGAGGAGCAGCCTTAGGGAGTCGCTGCTGCGAATCTTCTCAGCTCGCACCAGCAGTGCCAGGTGCTTCTGGAATGTGAGGGTGAGCGCGCCCATGTTCATCCGTGCCTCAATGCACTCCTCTTCCCCTCCGCCCCTCGCTCCCCACCCCGCTGCTGCTGCTGTGGCGGCTGCTGCTGCTGCTGCCCTGTTCCCACCATCCCCGTTCCTGACCCCCCTGTATCACCACCGACCTCTGAACCTCGTCCCTCTCCTGCTATAGCATCTCCGCTTCCTGCTGCTGCTGCTGCTACTCCACCCGTGCCTGCTGCTGCGTCCGTCTCACTCACTCGCACTCCCCGTGCCCACCAGCCCCCCATGAGCCCCTTCCAGCCAGCCCTGGCGTTCGCAGCACCCCCCCTCTTCTTGCCGCATTCCCTGCTCCTTCAGTTGCTAGAGACCCTGCGCCTGCCCCCACACCTGCCCCTGCCCCCACACCTGCCCCTGCCCCTGCCCCTGCCCCTGCCCCTTCCGCTGCCCTTCTCCTGCCCCTGCCCCTGTCCCCGTGGCCTCCCCGCCCCCGGCCCATGCTCTGGCATGCCTTCATGCGGGGTCTCCTCCCACGACACCAGATTCTGCACGCGAATAGAAGGGGTTCTCCTCAGCACCGGCCCTCCTGCTGCTGCTGCTCCTCCTCCTGCTCCTGCCGCCGCCGCTGCTATTCCTACACGGAGGCCAAGCCCGGCCCTACTGGCCGCGGTAGAGAGCGCTCCAGAGCTCAGCCCACCCATGGCTCCCCCGCCTCCCACACCTCTCGGGACTCCCCCCCGCCACTGCCACTTGTGCTGCTGAAATCACTGCTATCGCTTTCAACACTTGCTGTATCACTGTCTCCCGCTCCTGCTCCTGCTCCCATTCCTCCTGCCCCTCCTCTCACTCCCCACACACCCCCACTCTCATTCCAAGTCCTCCTATTCCCTCCCATCCTGCTCCTCCTGACCCTCTTCCTCCTCCTCCTCCTCCTGCTGCGGCACCCATGTTGTCCACGTCAGCAGCAGCCACGCTGGAAGATGCCCAGATGACGTGGCTCTCCAGCTGAGGTGGCCACACGTCAGCCTCATCCAGCTCATACCACGAGTTCCTCCCTCCCCCTCGCTGCTGCAACAGTGGCTGCTGCTGCTGCTGGTCCACCAAACCATTCACCTGAGATTCACCAGGAGAAGAATCCCCTCTCTGTTGCTGGCCCATCCCGTGCACCTGACCGTTCAGCCTCCCTTCCCCCCCCTCTCCACCCCATCTCCACCGCTCTGCACCCTTTCTTCCGCCCCACTGTCCAGCCCTCTCTCCCCACTATTTCCCTCCACTCCGCCCCTCTGCACCCCTCCAATACCGACCCCACTCCCCGAACCATCCCCATTTACCAAACCTCCCCCACCTACCGAACCATTCCCCAGGCTCTCCCTTCCCTGGCATTCCTCCCCCGAGGCATGCCACACGCCATGCGCCCTGCAGAACCACCCATCCTTAGGCACCCTCGCTACAGTCACATGGCCAGTGCTCGCCCCCAGCAGCGCCTGTGCGAGCACAGCATACAGCTGCGGCTTCTTCAGGTGGTTTAGCCAATCCATGGGCGCCAAACCGACCAATCGGCACGTCTCGAACCGATCCCGAACGCGCAGCAGCAGTCGCCGCTCCTCAGTTCGGTTGGTGAGGAGAGTCGCAAAGATGATGTGAGGGCGGAACCAGGCGCATATGTCTTGAGCGGGGACCAGGTCATAGGGGTCCATTTTATCGAATCGGGCCTTTTGGCGCTTGCGCTCGGCTTTCCACACGCGGTGCAGCATGCGCGCGTTTGCGAGGTCGAGGTGATTGTTTACACAGTCGTAAACGAGGAGCGTTATAGTGGGGATGAGGATGAAGGCGGAGGAGAAGCCGAAGAGGATCTGAGAGAAGAGGGAGAGGTTGAGGTAGTTGTAGCAGACGAGCGAGAGCGTGAAGAAGAACTGGCCGAGGGTGAGCAGCGCCTGCAGGTTACTCCAGAGAGAGCGAGGCGAGGGGCGAGGTCTTGTAGTGCGTGGCTATGCGGAGAGCCTGCAGGAGAAGGATGATTATCACCTGGTGGAGGGGACGGAGAGGGAGGGGAGAAGAGGGGAGGGGAGAAGAGGGGAGGGAGAAGAGGGGAGGGGAGGAGAGAGGACGTGTCACATGAGGCACCACCTGTAATGCAGCGGGAGAAGAGGGAGGGGAGGAGAGAGGACGTGTCACATGAGGCACCACCTGTAATGCAGCGGGAGAAGAGGGGAGGGGAGGAGAGAGGACGTGTCACATGAGGCACCACCTGTAATGCAGCGGGAGAAGAGGGGAGGGGAGGAGAGAGGACGTGTCACATGAGGCACCACCTGTAATGCAGCGGGAGAAGAGGGGAGGGGAGGAGAGAGGACGTGTCACATGAGGCACCACCTGTAATTCAGCGGGAGAAGAGGGGAGGGAGGAGAGAGGACGTGTCACATGAGGCACCACCTGTAATGCAGCGGGAGAAGAGGGGAGGGGAGAAGAGGGGAGGGGAGAAGAGGGGAGGGAGAAGAGGGGATGGGGGTTTGACCGTTGAGATAGTTGCAGCAGGCGAGCGAGAGCGTGAAGAAGCACTGGCCGAGGGTGATCAGCGCCTGCAGGTCCTCCAGAGAGAGCGACGCGAGGAGCAACGACTTGTAGTATGTGATGACGTCAAGGCATGATGGGCGACGTGAAGTGCCGCTGCGGGGGGGGAGGAGAAGGGGGAAAGGGGAAAAGGAGGGGAGAAAGGGAGGGGAGAGGGGAGGAAGAGTGAGGGGGAGAGGGGAAGGAAGGGAACCAAGGTAGTCTGATGAGGCTAACTTGGCTGCGCTGGGCTAGGAGTGAGGGCTAGGAGTGAGGGCTAGGAGTGAGGGCTAGGAGTGAGGACGAGGTCCCTCAAAAGGAAGAGGCTAGGACTTGTAGTGCATGGTGATGTGTGCTAAGTCTCAGCTTCTTAAACGACGGGAAGCACTGCATGCTTGGTCTCCTGCTGAAAGAACACCGGGATGAACGGGACGAAAAAGTAGGATCCGAATGGGCGTGCGTCCATGATGGTGTGAACGAGTGGCCGCCTACCTGCGGCTTGGTCTCGTGCTGCAGGAACACGAGGATACAGCCGTGCAGAGTGTGTTAGAAATGCATACAATGGGATGCGCATGTGGGAACGATCAAGCAGGAGCGTGCGTGAGGGTGTGACCGAGTGGGCATCTACTACCTGCGACTTGGTTTCCTGCTGCAGGAACACGAGGATACAGCCGTGCAGCACCCTCAACCCTATGTTGGTCAGATGCCACCTGCGGCAGTGAGTGGAGGAGGGGGGGGAGTAAGGGAGCGGCAAGAGGGGATTGGAAATAGGGAGAACACACCCACGCAACACCTTTAACTTAACCCTATGGTGGTCAGATCAGATCCCACCTGGTGCAGTGGAGAGAGTAGGAGAGGGCGGTAAGGGAAGGACTGCGGGATTGGAATTAGGGGGATGGGATACACAGCCATGGAGCATTCTCGGACCCACGTTGGTCAGATAGCACCAGGAGAGGAGAGAGAACGAGCGGCAGGGGGGTAATAGGAGGGGACAAAGCTGGGAAAACAGAGGCTGGGTTTAGGAATAGAGTTGTGCAGCACCCTCAGGCCCATGCTGGTGAGCTGCCACCTGCAGCGGCGAGAGGAGGAGGAGGAGAGTAAGGGAGCGGCAAGAGGGGATTGGAAATAGGAAGATACACCCACGCAGCACCCTCAACTCAACCCTACGGTGGTAAGGTGCCACATGCAGCAGTGGGCAGGAGAGGAGAGAGCGGTAAGGGAAAGACAGCACGGTTGGACAACATGCCAACATGCAGCACCCTCAGACCCACGTTGGTCAGATGCCACCTGAAGTTGTGGGAGTCTCGGGTTTAGCCACTCACCACCAGAAGTTCAGAGAGAAGCGCTCGGTGAGCCACCCAAACCGCTGTTTGAATATAGTAGAAGAGAGCATTTCGCACGCGTGTGAGTCGACCAGCACGCCAGCGAAGAGCACCGGTAGCAAAGAGCACCAGTAGCCTGACACCAAGTAGACTAGAAGTATAAGTAACGAGCATGGCGGCTACCACTTTCTTGTCGCCATTCCACTCACCACCAGAATTTGGGAGTGAATCGTTCGGTGAGCCACCCGAATCTCTGTTTGAAGAGCGCGGAAGAGAGCACGTCGCACGTGTGTGCGTCGATCAGCACGCCAGCAAAGAGCGCCGGCAGCCCCACCAGGTACACCAGCGTAACCAGCACGGCGGTAACCAGCATGCCAACATGCACGGGGGAGAGCCAGAGGATCTGCGGCGCCGCTGCCATCACTGTTGCCGAGCCGACCGTTTGGGACTGAAAGGAGGGGGGATGAGAGGAGGGGGGGCTTTTGAGCTGACCGTTTGGGGCTGGAAGGAGGGGGATGGGAGGAGGGGAAGGGGTGCTTGGGCTATTGGGCATGTGGTTCTTTGACATAGGTGCGTGCATAGCATGGCATGGGATTGTCGAGAAAAAAAAAACCATTTCGCGATGCAACTTGCACCCCTTCGCCTTGAGATGTTGCAGCACTTTGACCATCACGGACACGTAGTAGCAGTTGCCATGAGTGCACTCACGGACACGTAGTAGCAGCTGCCATGAGTGCACTCACAGACACGTAGTAGCAGCTGCCATGAGTGCACTCGAATGAAGAATGAGCCACCCAGCCACCGGTATTGCCAAACACCTTCAACACTTGCAGCACTTTGACCATCACACGCTTCAAACTTAAAGCCTGCCTCGCCTTGATGGAAGCACGTAATCACCATCCCGCCGTCTCACCTTGAAGACTTGCAGCACTTTGACCATGACCGACACGTAGCAGATGTCCAGCCACTTGAGCGAAGCGTGCACGATCGAGTTCTCATACTCGTTATAAGCCCGCCGCTTCGTTACAGAGTGCTGGAGTAAGCGCTGCTTCTGCCGCTCCTTGCGCTGCCACGAGTGCACCCGTATGAAGAACGAGCCACCCAGCCAGCGGTGGTGCGCAAACACTAGTGCGTAAACGAGGAGGCCTATAACAGGGATGAGAATGTTCATGTAGAATTTGCCTGTGAACTGCAGAGAGAACACGCACTCCGGCCCTATGATGTCCTGCACAAGGGGAGAGAGGGAAAGAGGTGGATGCAGAGCACAGGGAGAGAAGAAGAGGTGGATGCATGCAGACAGTCAGACAGCCAGTCAGGGGAGGAGGAGGACAGGAGAGAGCACACGCACTGACGCACTCCGCCCCTATCATGTCCTGCACTGCACAGGAGAGCGAAAAAGAGGTAGATACAGTCAGTCAGTCAGTCAGTCCGTCAGTCAGTCAGTCAGTCAGGGGAGGAGGACGGGAGATCAGAATTTCTTTCAGGCAGCACCCGCTGGCTTGGCTTTGAGATGCCTCAGAGCAGAATGGAGTTACAGGCAGCACCGTACGCCTGACTGAGAAAAAAAAAGCGATGCTTTCGGTCACACTTACCTGTGGCGAAAGCACACTTGCGGCTCACTCGCCAAGCCGAAGGCGGCAATGCTGTAGAGCAGCAGTACGGGAATGCTGTAGAGCAGCAGTACGGGAATGCTGTAGAGCAGCAGTACGGGGTAAGACAGCGTTGGTCTTGACCCAGGTGGGGAAGTTGAGCTTGCAGTGGGACAATACCATTGCCAGCAGCAGCTGCACCTCTGATTGGCACTGCGATGAGCAGCATTGCGATGAGCAGTCGCCGTCACGGGACCCAGAACCACCCACAGGATTCAAAGGAAGAACCACTCACAGGATCAAAGGCAGCGATATTACAGAGTAGAACCACAGTCTTGACCCATGAGGCGGGGTAGTTGACGTGAGGGTTGAAGAAGATCACCACCACCATGGTCAGCAGCTGCAGCACTGATTGCAGAGCAGTCACTGTTGAGCAGCGCTATGAGGATGTTGCCACCATGGGAGCTGCTATGAGGATGTTATTTGTTCGACCCAAGGTAAACAAACTCACGGGGTCGAACGCAGCGATATTATAGAGCAGCACCACGGTCTTGACCCAGGAGGCGGGGAAGTTGAGGTTGAAAGACGCCACCATCGCCAGCAGCTGCACCTCGGTGAGGAATATGTCCATCGCTGCAAAGGTGTCGGCCAGCATGTTCATCGCCACCCACACCACCAGCACTATGACTAGAAGGAGAGGGAAGACCTGGGAAGGGGAGGGATGGAGGGAGGGGCGGATGGGAGGGTATAAGGGGCAAGGGGCTCGCCAGCAGCTGCTCCTCGGTGAGGAAGATGTCCAGCGCTGCAAAGGTGTCGGCCGACGGCCAGCATGTTCATCGCCACCCACACCACCCCGACGATCATGAGCAGAAGCACCAAGACCTGACGGAGGGGAGAGGGGGTGGAAGGGTGGGGTGGGGCATGCCGCATGGGGGATGCCAGTCACGGGGCCAGCAGCTGCACCTCGGTGAGGAAGGCAGATGTCCATGGCTGGCTGGGAACGTGTCCGCTAGAGGAGCCTATCCTTGAGGCGCCTCAAAAATAGATGTCCATGCCATGGCTGCGAACGTGTCTGCTGCTGCCTGGCAGCAGGTTCATCGCCACCAACACAACCAGCACTATGATCAGAAGAAGAGGGAAGATCGTGAATGAGAGGTGGCTCTAAGCACGTGTAGTCTGAGAGTCTGCTTTTGACTCGATTCAAAGCAGGGGCAGGGCAGTGAATGAGAGCCGGTTCTATTCTAACCACTAATTTTGAGGCGCCTAAACAACAGGCTGCTTAGCTAACTCACTGGAAGAATGCCTGGGAAGGAATGCGTGAGGAGTCTCTTTTTTAGGAATGCGTGAGGAGTCTATTTTTTAGGCGCCTCAAAAATAGACTCCTCACGCAGGACCTGATACGAAATGGGACATTCCACCCGATGAGAGGAAGGGGCCGTGACGTGAATGAGAGGTGCTCAAAGCACTCACAATTCCCGGGTAGAACTGCTCTATGCTATAGCGCTACCCACCGATTTGAAGGCAGAGGTGCACTGCTCGCAGAACTGCAGCACGAGATAGTAGCCGTCCGCACACAGGGAGCACATGCTGCACCGGCAAGACAGAGAGAACATGGCAGAAAGAAGCGACGAGCAAAGGGGGGTGTGAGACAGCCAGTAGGTGCTTCTTTCTAGCTGCAGCACGAGCTGGTAGCTGTCTGAAAGTATAGTCCATCATAGTCTGAAAGTAACCATCATACTCTCTGCAGTCGATTTTTTAGTCGACTCAAAAATCTCCTCTGCAGTCCAACAGTGGGGACAGGATCCGAAATGCACCAGGCCTTTTGGCATCTGAGGCGCCTCAAAGCCAGCGGCGAAGGCGCAGCAAAGTCAGCGCAATGGTCAAGGCAGGGTGTGAGGCCACAAGGTCCCACATCCAGAGTACTGACGGCACTGTGATGTTGCGTTGCATCTCACGGCACACTGACTGAGTGAGAAGGGTGTAGGTGGGGTGGGGGGGACAGACAGACTGCTTACCCTGGAGTTCAAATGTCAACCTCCCACTGCCCCACAAACTCACGCCACGGTCGTGTTATATCCGACGCATTGAGTGGTGTTGAGGATCATGCCATGAAGGCACGGCAAGGAACTTACGTGTGTAATGCTATGAACGGCAAGGAACTCAAAAGTCGACTCATTAACATGCCATGAAGGCACGGCAAGGAACTTACGTGTGTAATGCTATGAACGGCAAGGAACTCAAAAGTCGACTCATTAACATGCCATGAAGGCATGGCAAGGAACTTACGCCACCGTGTTGTTGTAGCCCACGGCACACTGCGTGGTGTTAGGCCCAGTGTAGGTGGTGCCAGAGCAGCCGTTGGTGAGCAGACACGCATATGTGGTGGGCGTGCTGTTGAGAGATGCTGGGTCCAGCCAGTTCTGGTAGTCGATCTGGGAAGAGAGGGATGGGCAGGATGGGGAGCGGAGGGCGGACGGAAAGGCAAGTGGGGTAGGCAGGTGAACCAGCCGTTGGTTTGGTGGGCATGCTGTTGAGTTGAGGGATGTTGGGTCCAGCCAGTTCTGGTTGTCGACAACCAGAATTGGCCCAACACACAGGCGTGTGCCATTTGCCATAGCATCTCCACGCACCCACCTGCATGGTGCCGTAGCGGCAGTCGAGGCTGTCATCGTCACACGGCGTGCACTCGTCCTCCGACACGGCATTGGGGTAGAACGTGAACGTGCCGTCTGGGCACGTCTCCATGCCCTGGCCGGGGGCACACCTGGGAGGGAAGAAAGGTGCGGGATAGACAGCACCAATGCTTTGAAAAACGGCGGTGGGATAGGATAGGAGGTGAACGTGCTGTCCGGACAGGTCTCCATACCCTGCCCTGGCGCACACCTGAGGTGAACGGGAGGGGGGTGGGATGAGACATACAGTGATCAGGGAGGGATGGGTAAGCGGAGAGGTGACGCCTGGAGGCACAGCGTTGAGGTAGAGTGCTCTGGCCCCGGGCACACGTGGTGCGTTGTGTGTGGGGCGGGAGGAGAGAAGGGAGGAGGTAAACGGTGGTTTGAGACACGGCATTGGGGTACAATTCGAGCGTGCTGGCTGGAAATGTTGCCATGCCCAGTCCCCAGTAGACATGGGCAGCATGCCCAGTCCCCAGTAGACATGGGCAGCATGCCCAGTCCCTAGTAGACATGGGCAGCATGCCCAGTCCCCAGTAGACATGGGCAGCATGCCCAGTCCCCAGTAGACATGGGCAGCATGCCCAGTCCCCAGTAGACATGGGCAGCATGCCCAGTCCCCAGTAGACATGGGCAGCATGCCCAGTCCCCAGTAGACATGGGCAGCATGCCGAGCCTGGCTCGACTCGGCTCGTCTCGACCACGAGCCAAGTAAAAGTCGAGCCGAGCCGGCTGCCCGAAAATGGCTGGCTCGACTCGGGGTTTGAGGGTCGAGCCAAGGGCCGGCTCGACTTTGGCTCGGCTCGGCTCGACTCGACAGAGGGGGAGCATTGTGATCGTTAGCGTTCTTGACAAGAGTAGAAAGTGGGCGTTTGGCGGACATAAAAAATCTAGGTGTTAGAATATTCTCCCTTCATTCTATTAGCCTACATCGTTTCATTGTCTTAGGTACTTATAAGCACCCCACTAGGGCGTATACACCCAAGTTGGGGGTTGGGTTCCCAAATTGGTTGGGCTCCCAATTATTGGAACCCCCAATAATCCCAACCAAGATTATTGGACCCACCAATAATCTTGGCTAGGATTATTGGACCCCCAATAAGTTGGCCAACTCAACTTATTGGGGTCCCCAATAATCGTGGTCACCTCCCAACCAAACCCCCCCTTCCTACTCCTCACCTATGTATACCCACTCTTTTCTTAATACTCTTTTCTCACACTAGGTCCTAAACAGAAATGGCCATTGCTGGTGTACCCTAAAAACGTGATTTCCTGAACCCTAATAACCTAAAACACTCTAGTTAATGTCGGACTGAACTTACGGAGTGAGATTAATGGGGCTTAGGCATGCTAGGCTGGCGTGGTGGGTGTAAGCAGCGCTTAGAGAGTTACTGGAAATTGAGAACCAGAAATGGGTTTCGATTTCCAGGGGGGGCGAGCCGCGCGACTGGACAGTCGAGCCGAAATCGAGCTGGCTCGACTTCAGCTCGCCCAAAAATTTCCGACGAGCCGAGCCGAGCCGCGCGGCTCGACCGGCTCGACTCGGCTCGACTCGGGGCGAGCCTGCCAAAAACAAACCCCGGCTCGACTCGCTAAAAAGGCGAGTCGAGCGGGGTCGAGCCGAGCATGGCTCGGCACGCTGCCCATGTCTAGTCCCCAGTAGACATGAGCACGGGGCGAGGCGAGGATTCCTTGACTCGAGGATCTCATCCTCGCGCCCTAGCCGAGGCGGGTCGAGGAATCCTCGCCGAGGATTTTTCATGAAAATCCCCCCTCGACCCCCGGGTTTTGGGGTCGAGGATTGAAATCCTCGCCTCGAGGATTAATTCCTTGACCCGGGGCGAGGATTCCTTGACCTGGGCGGCTGGGGGGTTAGGGGGAGAGGGGTAATGGGAACATCCTCGCCCATTTGCCTCGAGGAAAAATCGAGGCCTCGAATCCTCGCCGAGGCGGGGCGAGGAATCCTCGCGAGGATTTTTCCCAGAAAACCTGCCTCGACCCCCGGAATTTCGAGGCGAGGATTTCCGAGGCGAGGAAATCCTCGCCTCATTGCTCATGTCTAGTCCCCAGGCACACCTGGTGGTGGTGAGATGCGAGAGGTTTGGGCTGGGGGGCAAGGGAGTGGAAGACGAATTGAACTAGCCGGGGGATAAATACGAGATAAGTCAAGGGATAGACGTCATTCATGAACCAGCAAATGACCACCGTGGTATTTTCACAGCACTACTAGCAGCAACACAAGCCGCATTGGCTGACAACCCACCAGCAGCAGCAGACAAACCTAATCCAGAGCCAAACCATCAACGGTTGGCAGGGGGCAGGGGGATTAGACAGCTGAACCTTTCTCCATCGAGTGTGTTTTTTATTGAGGCGCCTTTAACGGCAATTGGACTTCAGTAGTTAATGCAGCGGTAGAGCAGCAGTTACCAGTGGCCCATGCGACAACCCTGGAAGCTGAAACTCCAGGCATAAACCACAAGCCCTCCCTTGAGACACCCCAAAAGTCAACCCTAGGGCAGCATACCAACCAGTGGCCCGGCCAGAACATACACTAGATCTGTTTGCTGGCAACTCACCAGTGGCCCACTGGGCAATCCTGGCAGCTGAAGCTTTCTCCATCGAAGTACTGCCCGGCCGGGCAGAACGAGATGTTGAAGGGGTGGGAGAAGTCCGGGAAGGCGTTGGTGATGGAGGAGACCGTGACCGTGAGCGGTATCGGCTGTAGCGCGTCCGCCGGCGACACGCGGACAGCAATGGGCGGCACGGTGATGATGCCGGCCTGCGCCGTGCCCCTGAGTGACCCGCTGATGCGGCTGTCAGGGGATACACGGGCCAAGGCCGAGTCGTCCTGGGAGGCGTTGGGTGGTGAGGGAGGGGGGCAATGAGGGGCAATGGGCGGCACGGTGATGATGCCAGCCGGCCTGTGCCGTGCCCCGCAAGGACCCACTGATGCGGCTGTCGGGCGAGACACGAGCCAAGGCCGAGTCGTCCTGAGGGGAAAGGCGAGGTGGCACGGAAGGGGACTTGGTGAGATAATGGAGGGAGAGAGAGGGAGTGGGAGAGCCTTGCAGCAACCCGCTGATGCGAGTCGTCCTGCCGGGTCAGGAGGGAGGCAGTCTAGCAAACGCTGAGTTGACTTGAAGAGGGGTGGGCGGGGAAAGGGGGGAAGGGAAGGGGAGGGGAGGGGTTGTAAGAGTGGGGGGATGGTCTTGAGGGGGGTAGTGGGAGAGTGCATCGCAGTGACCCGCTTATGTGGCCCAAAGCTGAGTTGTGCTGCGAGTGGTGTGAGGCGGATGGGGAGAAGGTTGTGACTTTTGAGTCGACTCAACATTCACCAACACTGAGGGGTCCTGCAGGTGGTGTGAGGAGGACGAAGGGGAGGTTGTGGGTGGCTGGCTTGTAGGGAGACAAGTGAGAGAGAGTGCCTCAGCAAGCAAGCCACTCGGGGCCAAGGCACACACTGGGAAGAAAGAGGAAGGCGGGCTTTAAAATTTGAGGGGAAGGGAGCAGTTGGGCTCAGGCGAAATGCCTCCGTTGATTCCCAAATCTCAAAAGTCAAAACCTCCAAAACATTCAATGCCATGCACAGACATGAGCAACGGGCTGGGCCGGGCCTGGCCGTTCACAAGTGGGACCGGCCTGGCTCGTCGTGCACTGGACTTCGGGCCGGCCGGCTCAAAATTCAGCCCATGTCAGGCCAGCCCCCAGCCCGCCCATCGAGCGGGGCCGAGCCGGCCCTCCGCCCGTGGGCTCCCAGGACGTCGGCCGGGCCAACCCCGGCCTGTGGGCCAGGCCAGCCGTCGAAGACCTGCACGACCCGGACTGTGCAGGTAGAATCTTCCAACTTCAAGGTGGAATCTGCGTGGATTGGCGGACAAAACGCCAGCTGGCTGGACCGGGCACACTCATTGCACGGGACGGGCCCCTCCTGGCCTGGACCGGGCCAGCCCTCTGGCCATCCCGTGCTCATGTCTACTGTACAGAGTGGTTCTGAAGACCCCTCTTACCTTAAAGACGAAAATTCCAAACTTTTTCACCACCACCACCAGTGCACCAGCATCTGCCTTTCTTACCTTACCTCAAATCTCTGTCGGGCTCATGCAGATGAGTTGGTGCTCAAGGTACTCATTACCTTGGAGACAACGTTTCCAAATTGATCCACCACCACCACCTGCAGTCCAGTCAGCATGGATCCCATGGCGCCGACCACTGAGAAGCTGCCACCTGTCTCCTTGGATGATGCTGCCGCCCCCGGCCATCTGAAATGGGGATGAGATGGATGGGATGGGATGGGATGGGATGGGATGGGATGGATGGGATGGGATGGGATGGGATGGGATGGGATGGGATGGGATGGGATGGGATGGGATGGGATGGGATGGGATGGGATGGGATGGGATGGGATGGGATGGGATGGGATGGGATGGGATGGGATGGGAATGGGATGGGATGGGATGGGATGGGATGGGATGATTCGAAACAAGGGATGACAACAAGGGCCACACATGAAAACGACTCCGACTTCTTCAGCCGACCACCTCTTGAGCAACACAGATGGAACGCAACAGGTTGAACACCAGCAGGCCGAATATCAGGGGAGCGAAATGGGCCCTGTACTCTTTACAAGCGCACTCACGTGAGGTAGAAGTCTGCCGGCATGCTGCCCTGTGTGTCTGGCGGCTGCAGCATCAGACAGTCCCCACAGGCGGACCGCAGGTCAGGACTGTAGGAAGCTTCGAAGAAGGCCACTCCGTGCGCGTCCATGGCACTGTTGCCATCAAACACCAAGCCTCGACAGAGAACCTGATTGGTCGACTGGAGAGAGGCGGATGAAGAGGAGGTGGTGCCATTTGGAGTAGAAGCGCCACCAGTAGCTGCCGTTTCCCTCATTCTGCTGCTGCTGCTGCTGCTGCTAGCCAATGCAATCCTCCTGGAGTTCCTGGCTCTCTTAGCTCTCTTTTCACGCGCAGACGCACTCCCCTGAGGGCTATCAGCTGCAGCAGAGCGCAGCAAATACACCCCAGCGCCCCCCACCACCGCATAGTTCCCTGCAAACCTCGACCCCGTGATCTCCCCAGTCACCTGCTCCAAAACCGCCACTCCCCCTCCCGCCTTCGTCGCATTATTCCCAGAAAAAACCGAGTCCCCCATGGCGAACGAAGTAGTGCCTGCAAGGGCCACCCCTGCGCCGATCTGAGCGATGTTCCGGGTGAAATGTGAGCCGTTGATCGTGAGATACGGGCCGCCTTCGGTGCTCACTGCGCCGCCAAGTGCTGCCCAGTTCTTGGCGAAATGGCACGAGTGGACGGCGACCGTCGTCCTGTCTCCGACCAGCATCGCCCCGCCCCTCCCTGCCGCGTTGGAATTCCGAGAAAAGCTGCAGTTTCTAAGGGACCCCTGGGAAAACCCCTGGAAGAGGATTGCCGACAAGGTGTTGTTTTCAAACGCACAGTCGCTTGCTGACACCCTCGCCTCTGCTCCAACCACCAACGCTCCCCCATGCAGCGCCGAGTTGTCCCGAAACACGCTCCCGCCTCGCACCTCCACTCTTGACACGTGCGTCGCGTACACTGTCCCGCCGAGGTACTGCGCACGGTTACCAGCGAGCATCGTCCGGTTATCGATGATGAGCGATGCACCCATTTCGACCCACACGGCCCCGCCCCACGCGGCGGTGTTGCGGGAGACGGAGGAGGAGAGGAGGGAGAGGTGCGCGCTGCCACTGATGCGAGCTGCCCCACCCTCGCTGCCGCCCTCGTTGCCCTGCAGCACAGAGTCGGTCACCGTGGCCTGGGCATTGGCCAGCAGAGAGAGGCAGGCACCTCCTGTGAGGGCTCTGGAGGAGAAGAAAGGGGGAAGAGAAGGGGCTGAGAGGTTGAAGGGCGAGGTGCACGCTGCCCCGCCCTCGTGCCGTTCTCGTTGCCCTGCGGCAGAGTCGGTCACCGTGGCCTGGGCGCTGGCTAGGAGGGAGAGGAGAGGCAGGCACCGCCTGTGAGGGCAGTGGGGAGATATGGGAGGGTCAGGGAGGGGAAAAGACAGAGGATGTGCCAATCTAACACACAGAGCTGCGCCCCCCTCGCTGGTGCCCTGTTAGCCAGCAGAGAGAGACAGGCACCTCGTTAGAGGCCTCTATGTGCGTGAGGTTTGGTTTGGGATGCCCTGGGGATCAAGACATCATTCGTGTGTAATAAGTCGATTTTTGAGTCGACTAGAAATCGACTTATTACACATGGTGGGATGCCCTGGGGATCAAGACATAATTATTACACACGGTGGGATGCCCTGGGGATCAAGACATCATTCATGCTAAATATCGTCTCACATGCTTCGGTGTCCAATCGCATGTTCTCAACGTGACTGGCGGCACGGCAGGGCACCCTTGGCACGTTTCAGTTAAAACTCACACATGTTACTGTACTGTGTCATCTCATATGCTACCGTGTCATCTCACATGTTCCCTTGGCACCGGGGTGCATGTCATGTCGACCCTTGAGAACTCCTGCACAAGTACGGCGCCGCCCAGCCCGGTGCTGTTGTTGGCCTCCACCACACACGCCTGCAAGCGCGTGCGCACGCTCAGCCCCGAGTAGATGGCGCCTACCCCGAGTACCACTTCCTTCCCCCCCAGATACAACATCTCTCCCCCTAGTATTACCTCCCCTTAGTGCTGTCTGGATGCATTAGGAGGATCTGTTGAGAGCACGTTACACTCTTGGTGCGTTTCCGTTTCATCGCGCACGCATGGTTAGAGTTCCATCTCACATGTTCCCTTGGCACAGCGTGCGTGTCATGTCGACCCGTGAGAACTCCTGCACAAGCACGGCGCCACCCAGCCCGGTGCTGTTGTTGGCCTCCACCACACACGCCTGCATGCGCATGCGCATGCTCAGCCCCGAGTAGATGGCACCTCCCCCTAGTACCGCCTCGTTGCGCACAAAGCGGCAGGAGAGGAAAGAGGCTTCTGTGGGCACACCATCGCTGCTGGAGGCATAGACTGCAGGGGGTGGTTGGGCAGGGTGAAAGGAGCGGGGGGGTTGGGCAGGGTGAGAGAAGGGGGCGGGTGGGCAGAGTGAAAGGGGGAGGGGGTGGGCAGGGTGAAAGGAGGGGGATGAGAGCAGGGTGAAAGGGGGAGGGGGTGGGCAGGGTGAAAGGAGGGGGATGAGGGCAGGGTGAAAGGAGGGGGATGAGGGCAGGGTGAAAGGAGGGGGATGAGGGCAGGGTGAAAGGAGGGGGATGAGGGCAGGGGATGAATTCTGCTTTTGAGTCGACTCAAAAGGAGGGGGGGGGAGGGGATGAATTCTGCTTTTGAGCCGACTCAAAAGGAGGGGGGGGAGGGGATGAATTCTTGTACTTTTGCGAGCGTAGATGGCTTTCAATTTTTATATTGCCTTGTTGCCACAAAGCAGCTGGAGAAGAAGGGATGTTCTGTGGGTAAGCCAGGTCACTTCAGCATAAGCACCTCTCGTGGTATTTATACCTGTTGCGCTGATCACTGTAATCATTCCCACGAAAAAAAGGAAGAGGTAAGGCGAGGTAAAAGGACTCGGAGCAAAGGCAAGCGATAGGGAAGATGCCAGTAAGATTTTTTTTTTTTTTTTATTATTTTTTTTTAATGAATTACCTGCGACTACCCCCTTCAACCTGTTTCCATCCATTGCCTCACTCACCTGCCACTGCCCCCCCCTGCAGCCCTGCTTTATTGCCGTCTAGTGTGACATTATCAAAGGTGATAGACACCGACTCGCTGTAGACTGCCCCGCCCTTGGAGCTCTCTGCCGTGTTGTTGACGAACGTGGTGTTCACCACTCGCACTGCCCCCGTGCCCTGATACACCCCATTGGGAAAGGGAGGGTAGCAAGAGGTCGCAGAAGGGTATGAGACAGACAGAGAGTAGGAGTGTCTCGCTGGACATGCCCCACCCCCTTGGAGCTCCCAGCTGTGTTGTTGATGAATTTGCTGTCGACCACTCGCACTACCCCCGTGCCCTGATACACCCCATTGGGAAAGGGGGGGCAACAAGAGGAGGGTTTGACACAGAGAAAAGAAGTGACTCGCTGTAGACCGCCCCTCCCTTGGAGCTCTCCGCTGTGTTGTTGACGAACGTGCTGTTGACCACTCGCACTGTGCCTGTGCCCTGAGAGACGGGGAGAGAGGCAGTGCAAGGTGACAGAGAGTGACTCGCTCTAGAGACTGCCCCTCCCTTGGAGCTCCCAGCAGTGTTGTTGCCGATCGTGGAACTGGCGCCTTTGACTGCCCCCGTGCCCTGATACCCCAATTGGGAAAGGGAGGTCAGGACAGCAAGTGGTTGCAAAGAGGTATGAGACAGAGAGTAGGAGTGATTCGCTCTACATCCCGCACCCCCTTAGAGCTCCCAGCCGTATTGTTGGTGAATGTGGACCTGACGACCCTGACTGCGCCTGAGCCCTGGTATCAGGGTTTCGGGTTTAGGGTTTAGGGTTTGTGCCCTGGAGGAGCAAGTGCGGATAGGAGTGGAGGGACGAATAGGGAGATTAAACGACCCAGAATCGAGCTCTAAGGGTCCCCCTTGAGCTCTCTGTTGCATGGTTGTTGATGAATGCGCTGCTGACACAAGCTCGCACTGCCCCCCTGTGTGCCCTAAAGGCAGAAGTGAGGACAAGCGAAGGCACGGATAGGGAGAGGAAGGTTTGAACCGACTCTGACTCCTTTGTAAAGCCCCACCCCCCCTAGGGCCCTCAGGCGTGCTCTTGATGAGCGTGCTGCTGCTGACAACTCTGACTGTGCCCGTGCCCTGGGAATGGGTGTGTGGGTGCAAAGGCGCAGACGGAGAGGAGACGGGAGCAGCTGAGAAGCCGAGGTGAGCAACAGGGTAAGAGCAGCAGGAAGGAAGGAAACGAGACTGGGCGCAGTCTCACGGCTTTTAGAGCAGTACCACTCACATCTCAACTCAATGCGTACACATTGATAGCACCCCCGTTCTGCTTGAGCATGGAGTTTCGTTGGAAGAGCGAGATGGCGATGGTACGCCTGGCAGGAAGTGCAGCGGAGGTAGGTGGCTAACCTGGCCTCACACCCTACTCGCCCCATACACATTGAAAGCACCCACAACTCACCCCATACACATTGAAAGCACCCACAACTCACCCAATACACATTGAAAGCACCCACAACTCACCCCATACACATTGAAAGCACCCACAACTCACCCCATACACATTGAAAGCACCCACAACTCACCCCATACACATTGAAAGCACCCACAACTCACCCCATACACATTGAAAGCACCCACAACTCACCCAATACACATTGAAAGCACCCACAACTCACCCAATACACATTGAAAGCACCCACAACTCACCCCATACACATTGAAAGCACCCACAACTCACCCCATACACATTGAAAGCACCCACAACTCACCCAATACACATTGAAAGCACCCACAACTCACCCAATACACATTGAAAGCACAAATCACCCAATACAATTGAAAGCACCCACAACTCACCCAATACACATTGAAAGCACCCACAACTCACCCATACACATTGAAGCAACCCACATACCTCACCCACAATATACACATTGAAAGCACCCACAACTCACCCAATACACATTGAAAGCACCCACAACTCACCCCATACACATTGAAAGCACCCACAACTCACCCCATACACATTGGAAAGCACCCACAACTCACCCCATACACATTGAAAGCACCCACAACTCACCCAATACACATTGAAAGCACCCACAACTCACCCAATACACATTGAAAGCACCCACAACTCACCCCAATACACATTGAAAGCACCCACAACTCACCCATAAAAAACACCCACAACTCCCCATACACATTGAAAGCACCCACAACTCACCCAATACACATTGAAAGCACCCACAACTCACCCAATACACATTGAAAGGCACCCACAACTCACCCAATTACACATTGAAAAGCACCCACAACTCACCCAATACACATTGAAAGCACCCACAACTCACCCAATACACATTGAAAGCACCCACAACTCACCCAATACACATTGAAAGCACCCACAAACTCACCCCATACACATTGAAAGCACCCACAACTCACCAATACACATTGAAAGCACCCCACAACTCACCCCAATACACATTGAAAGCACCCACAACTCACCCATACACATTGAAAGCACCCACAACTCACCCATACACATTGAAAGCACCCACAACTCACCCCATTACACCACATTGAAAGCACCCACAACTCACCCCATACACATTGAAAGCACCCACAACTCACCCCATACACATTGAAAGCACCCACAACTCACCCCATACACATTGAAAGCACCCACAACTCACCCCATACACATTGAAAGCACCCACAACTCACCAAATACACATTGAAAGCACCCACAACTACCAATAACATTACCAATCACCCATACACATTGAAAGCACCCACAACTCACCCAATACACATTGAAAGCACCCACAACTCACCCAATACACATTGAAAGCACCCACAACTCACCCATACACATTGAAAGCACCCACAACTCACCCATACACATTGAAAGCACCCACAACTCACCCAATACACATTGAAAGCACCCACAACTCACCCCAATACCACATTGAAAGCACCCACAACTCACCCCATACACATTGAAAGCACCCACAACTCACCCCATACACATTGAAAGCACCACAACTCACCCAATACACATTGAAAGCACCCACAACTCACCCCAATACACATTGAAAGCACCCACAACTCACCCATACACATTGAAGCACCCACAATACCATACACATTGAAAGCACCCACAACTCACCCAATACACATTGAAAGCACCCACTAAACTTCACCCAACCACTACACATTGAAAGCACCCACAACTCACCCCATACACATTGAAAGCACCCACAACTCACCCAATACACATTGAAAGCACCCACAAACTCACCCAATACACATTGAAAGCACCCACAACTCACCCAATACACATTGAAAGCACCCACAACTCACCCAATACACATTGAAAGCACCCACAACTCACCCAATACACATTGAAAGCACCCACAACTCACCCAATACACATTGAAAGCACCCAACAACTCACCCAATACACATTGAAAGCACCCACAACTCACCCAATACACATTGAAAGCACCCACAACTCACCCCAATACACATTGAAAGCACCCACAACTCACCCATACACATTGAAAGCACCCACAACTCACCCAATACACATTGAAAGCACCCACAACTCCCCATACACATTGAAAGCACCCACACTCACCCCATACACATTGAAAGCACCCACAACTCACCCCATACACATTGAAAGCACCCACACTCACCCAATACACATTGAAAGCACCCACAACTCACCCAATACACATTGAAAGCACCCACAACTCACCCAATACACATTGAAAGCACCCACAACTCACCCCACAATTGCACCCCAATACACATTGAAAGCACCCACAACTCACCCATACACATTGAAAGCACCCACAACTCACCCCATACACATTGAAAGCACCCACAACTCACCCCATACACATTGAAAGCACCCACAACTCACCCCATACACATTGAAAGCACCCACAACTCACCCAATACACATTGAAAGCACCCACAACTCACCCACACATTGAAAGCACCCCAACTCACCCAATACACATTGAAAGCACCCACAACTCACCCAATACACATTGAAAGCACCCACAACTCACCATACACATTGAGCACCACAACTCACCCAATACACATTGAAAGCACCCACAACTCACCCAATACACATTGAAAGCACCCACAACTCACCCATACACATTGAAGCACCCACCAACCTCACCCAAATACACATTGAAAGCACCCACAACTCACCCATACACATTGAAAGCACCCACAACTCACCCCATACACATTGAAAGCACCCATCTTAAAGCACCCACAACTCACCCATACACATTGAAAGCACCCACAACTCACCCAAACATTAACACCACAACTACCCATACCATTGAAAAGCACCACAACTCACCCCTACACACCCACACTCACCCAATACACATTGAAAGCACCCACAACTCACCCCATACACATTGAAAGCACCCACAACTCACCCCATACACATTGAAAGCACCCACAACTCACCCATACACATTGAAAGCACCCACAACTCACCCCATAACACATTGAAAGCACCCACAACTCACCCCATACACATTGAAAGCACCCACAACTCACCCAATACACATTGAAGCACCCACAACTCACCCATACACATTGAAAGCACCCACAACTCACCCAATACACATTGAAAGCACCCACAACTCACCCAATACACATTGAAAGCACCCACAACTCACCCAATACACATTGAAAGCACCCACAACTCACCCATACACATTGAAAGCACCCACCACAACTCACCCAATACACATTGAAAGCACCCACAACTCACCCATACACATTGAAAGCACCCACAACTCACCCAATACACATTGAAAGCACCCACAACTCACCCAATACACATTGAAAGCACCCACAACTCACCCCATACACATTGAAAGCACCCACAACTCACCCATACACATTGAAAGCACCCACAACTCACCCCATACACATTGAAAGCACCCACAACTCACCCAATACACATTGAAAGCACCCACAACTCACCCAATACACATTGAAAGCACCCACAACTCACCCAATACACATTGAAAGCACCCACAACTCACCCCCATACACATTGAAAGCACCCACAACTCACCCCATACACATTGAAAGCACCCACAACTCACCCCATACACATTGAAAGCACCCACAACTCACCCATACACATTGAAAGCACCCACAACTCACCCAATACACATTGAAAGCACCCACAACTCACCCCCATACACATTGAAAGCACCCACAACTCACCCAATACACATTGAAAGCACCCACAACTCACCCAATACACATTGAAAGCACCCACAACTTCACCCAATACACATTGAAAGCACCCACAACTCACCCCATATACATCAACGGCACTCAAAACTCACCGCGTACACGTTGATAGCGCCCCCGTTCTGTTTGAGCACGGAGTTGCGTTGGAAGAGCGAATTGGCAATGGTGAGGTTGTCATAGGGCAGGAAGTGCAGCGCGCCACCCTCGTCCTGCGCCTTGTTGTCCACAAACGAGCAGTTGTCGATCACGGTTCGTCCCCGCGAGGTGACTGTATTGGAGGGTGGAAGGGGGGGGTGGTGGGAGGGGGAATGAAAGGGTCCGCCAAAAGAGCACAGGAAGTGCAGCGCGGCGCCCTCATCCTGCACCTTGTTGTCCACAGACGTTCAGTTGTCGATCAGGGTTCGGCCCCACGAGGTGACTGTATCAGGGGGGTGCAAGGGGGAGGGGGTTTGAGAGTTGACCAGAACAGCAAAGGAAGTGCAGTGCACCGCCCTCGTCCTGCGCCTTGTTGTCCACGGACGTGTAGTTGTGGATCAGAGTCCGTGCCCGGGACGTGACTGCATTGGGGGGCCAAGGGGGGGACCGAGGGTGGAGGAGAGGAGAGGGGGAGGGGGGGTCGTTGAGTTGGAAAAAAGAGCAGAGGAAGGGTACAGCACCGCCCTGATCCTGGGCTTCGTTGTCCACAAACGTGCAGTTGTCGATCACAGTCCGTGCCCGGGACGTGACTGTATTGGGGGGGGGAAGGAGCAGGGCCGTGCAGTCGTTGGGTTGGGCTGGCAATCACAGTTATTTCTCAGTTACTGTATGGAGGGCGGAAGGGCGGGGTGGGAGGGGGAAGGGAAGCCGGGTTGGACGACCCTGCCAAAAGTGCACAGGGAGTACAGCGCACCCTTTGAACTTTGCAGGTTGTTTTTTAGAATTCTAAAAAACCGAACATATTGAGTGAGGTCGGCGTTCAATGGAAAGGGAAGGCCTGTCACTGATGGTGTCATGATAACAGAAGAACCCAGAGGGAAAGAAAGGCGTCAGTGAGAGTAGCAATGCTTACCTTGCCACACTACCATACTCGTCCATCGCGGTTTTTGGGTGCCTCAAAAGGCGCAAGTGTGGCAGGCAACGAACAACGACACCCGGTCATGCTTCGAATCGAGGGCCTCAAAGGGAGTGAGATATTCCCATGATTGGAATGAGTAGCCAGCCAGCTACCAACCAGCCAAGCACCAACCAGTCTTGTACCGAAGCGGCACTTCCAGTGAGAAGAAAGGTTTGGCTCTGTTACCTCACTGTAATGAGTCGATTTTTGAGTCGACTAAAAAATCGACTCATTAGACACAGATTATACACTGAGATAATTTTTGTCGCATGGAAGGCTAGGCGTAACTTGCAAAAGTTATTTGTTCGCGCGACGCTCCCTGAGCACCAGCTGGCGAGACGTGGGTTATCCATCACACGTCCCGAGGAATGAAGACCTGGCACCTTGGAACTTTCCAGGGTGTTTTGGATTGGCTGACCAGATTTCAGTCGCGGTTGTTCCAACCTTGAAGTTGTTGTTCTCGTAGCGCAGTTTCTGTTTAAGAGCTCGCTTGTAAACTCACTTTATAATTCCACCAGCACTGATGAAGGTATGATTTGGGGCCTGTCCCAGTCAGCCGAAACTAGTTTGCGTTTTAATCTTCTAGTGGAGTTGAGTTCGGAACTTCAAATTCTCGCATTTTAAACAGCGGTATCTTTACCTACTGTTACTCTCTTTGCTAAAGTTTTCCTCTTCGCTGCAGCCCACCCTAACGCTTAATGGCTACAAATTCATTGGGTTTCCCAATTTCTTTGGGTGACGCCGGCGAAGAAGATACGAGTTTTGCACTGATTCCACGCGGAGCAGACCACTCCTCCAAGACCTACGCTACGCAGGATACAAGCGTTCCCGCAACGGCAAGGGAGTTGGAAATTCTGCATCGATTCGCGAGGTAGACGAGAAAGAGAAGCAATCTGAAGATTCTCCCGACATGGCCGACATCGACGTCCAGAAAGACGGCAAGCCTGTGGATTAGGCTCCTGTCAACCCGACTACCGATTGCGTGTCTCACATTTCAAAGCCTTTCAAAGGCTGGACGGTGGCGGCGGTCAAGGGCTTCAGGACGGACTACAAGGCACTCCTCAAGGCGAAGTCGAAACTTAAGAAGATGAAGGCCCTCCACGAGCAAGGTGTGATTTTGCACAGCCTTCGCACCAAGGTCGTGGAGTTCCAGACGAAGTACCCTCTGACGCGGGAAAAATCGGCTGCATCGGTCGCCTCGGTTCATCTCGAGAACCAGAAGCGCATTCAGGAAGATTTCATCAAGTCCAAGGAGGCGGAGGTTGAAGAAATTCAGTCAGCATCCGCCTCGCACGTGGCAGTTCTGGCGGCCAACCTCGAAGACTACATACAAGGCCTCAGCTCCGACCCAAGCTCACCATATCTGATGAGACTAAGGAGCGCTTCCGAAGGATCAATGCGTCGTGCATCGAGCAGGCCAAGGATGAGATCGTCATCCAGGAGCTGCACAAGCAGAAGGCGCGCGAAGCTGAAGAGTTGAAGAAAGCTGCTGCTGCTGAAGAGATGGAGAAAATGAAAACGGCTTTGGTACTCGACGAACTCGTGCTGAAAGCTACTAAGCGGCAAGTCGAGGCGATGCGCAAGGAAGTTGTGGTGAGCGTCACTACGAGGGTCACTGCGAGCGTCGAGGCGATGCCGACTGCGAAGTTCCAGAAGAGTTTCTCGAAGGAATCGCACGATCCCAAACCGGCCCCCTCGTCTTCGAAGCCCAAGGCGGACCCGTCCAAGAACCCGAAGAATAACTCTTCTGGGAACAGGCAGATATACCAAAGGCTCCGAAGAAGCGAGGAGAGGCAAGAAGAAAACGAAGTCTCCAGGCGGCAGCGGAGGGAAAGGCCAGCAATCTTCCTCGACTATGGCCCAAGTTCCAAAAAACGGCGGCGGAGGCCCAGGAAAAGGGCCGCGCAAGAACTAACTGCACGAGATCTCGCGCTCCGCCGGTTCGGACGTCTGAATTTACGGCAGGCGCAGTCACGCGTTCGAAACCGGGGAGTATACAACCTGAGCTCCCAAGTTTTATCTCACGACGAAACCAAGGCGCTCGGGATAGGACTCAAATTCGTACCTACGCCGCCATGGAACTTTTCCATAGAAGCAGATCTGGATCAACTGCATCGACGGATCTCCCTCAGTCTTTTCTTCAAGGATCAAGGGTCTTCAACTTCATCACGTTTCCGGTGAAGAATCCAAGCTGGAGACCCAAGCGGGACACGGTCCTGGAGCATGTTTTCAAGGAGGCGCGAGCCGACCTATCTTTCCTGCTGAAAGCGTGTAAGCCGTCTCGTGGACTCAACCTTTCGCGAGGAGTCCGCGCGGCTTTACGCTCCTTTTCGCTCGACAGCAACATCGTCATCAAGCCTGCTGATGAAAACGTCGGAGTAACTATGATGGATCGCACGCACTACGTCGCTCTCTGCATGGAGCATCTCGACGACGCGACAGTGTACCAGCTGGTTAGTCACGACCCAACTCCTTCTGTTCTACAGCAGCTGACGGAGCTGAAGGCAACGTGGGACCTGCTTATCCTGACATTCTTTGGAAGTACTCTTTCGATCGTCCGCCAAGGGGATGGCGACCAGCGGCATTCTATATCCTGCCGAAGCTTCACAAGAAATTACCCGTGGGACGACCGATCGCCACCTCACACTCCTGGGTTACGATTAATGTGAGCCGATGGCTGGATTCTCAACTACGATCGCTAGTGCTCAAGCAACCGACCTACCTGCGCGACTCCCTCTCTCTGCTAGCGAAGCTGGAAGCTACGGCTTTTCCATCAACTGTGCTCCTGGCCACTTACGACGTCACCTCGCTCTACCCAAGCATCTCCATCGATCGAGGGCTCGAAGTGGTTAGCAATTTTCTCTTGAGGGCACCAACACAGCTCACTCAACTGCTCATGGCCTTCTTGGGATGGGTCATGAGGAATTCCTTTGTGGAATTCGACGGCAGGATTTTTCACCAAGTGCAAGCACTGGGATGGGAACTCCAATTGCAGTTTGCTTTGCAGTCCTCTTCATGAGCCGTCTCGACGAGCTGCTTAAGGCGAGGTGGACCGGGATATCACCAAGTTACCACGTCCGTTACATCGACGGCGACCATATCATCTGACCAGGCTCGCAGGCTGATCTGGAGGAGTATCTGCGAACCTTCAACGGCTTCGATACTTCCATCAGGATCACGTAGAATATCTCGAAGCACTCCGTTGATTTTCTGGATGTTGTCCTCCACAAGGGGCAGGGTTTCAAGGAGTGTGGTCGTCTGGACCTCGGCACTTTTCAAAAGCCGATGAACAGATACCTCTACCTCCCCTTCTCCTCCTTCCACCCTTGGCACTGCAAGGAGGGCTTCATACGCGCCGACCTACAGCGTTACCTACTGCGTTCGACCTCCATGCGCACCTTTCTTGCAACGAACAGGCTTTTTTTCCGGCGGCTTCGCAACCGGGGTTACCCCCCTGCTTTCCTTCAACCGATCTTCAAGGGCGTCCTTTTCGCGCAACGCGCAACACTGCTCGCCGACACTCACGCAAACCAGCAACTTCGACGGCATTCTCTCCCCTCATCACGTGGACCCCTAGTTCTGAAGTCGACCTACACACTTGTGTCGGCCCGACTCAAACCTAAATTGGAAAAAACGCTCACTTTTGATTGCGTATTGCGTTTGAACGCAAAGAAAATACGTACGCTGCGTTTTTGGTATGGATACGCCGAAATACGCACGGATTGACCGAAAAAAAAACCCCAAAATTTTGCGAAATTTTGCGCCTTGGCGAAAAACATTCTCGCCTTCGCATATCGCGCGAACTCAACTTCGAGTTGAAATTTCGAAGCCTAGCCCCACCAACTAGACATGAGCAAAAACCGGGTAATTACCCGACCTGACCCGGTTTTGCCCTAACCACGATCGGGTCCGGGTCGGGTCGGGACGGGTAATTTCCGGGTAATGTTTGGAGGTCTGTTACCCAACCCGACATTTTAATACCGGGTAATTGGGTACCTGTCTGGCGGGTCGGGTATACTCGACCCGCATTGATTGAAGTCGGGTAATATTACCCAAGTACCCCTAGGTGGCAGTAAAATTCAGCAAACCTGGAGTAACAAACCCAAAGTCGAATCGGGTACCCGCGACCCGACGGGTAATAAATTACCCGACATTTCGAGTAACTCTCGGGTAACGGGTTACGGGTATGCATTACCCGGCCCGAGTACCCGACCCGGCCCGACCGGGTAAATCGTCAAAATCCTATTACCCGACCCGGCCAAAATGTCGGGTGGGGTCGGGTACCCGCGACCCGACCCGGTAAAATGCTCAAGTCTACCACCAACCCCCCCTTCGAACCTCTGTCCACCCCTCTCCACCTCGTCAATTCCCAATCCCTCCCAACTCCTCCTTGAGACGAGTTGGCCTCTAACAGAGTCAGCCCTCCCAGCATAAATTACTGCCATTTCAACATTCGATACTCATTCTCGCAATTCCCTTTCTACCGTAGCTTGCACGCCACCATGACTTCCAGCCCTACAGCATCACCTTCTCCCCCAACTGCTGAGGCTACCCGTACTTCCACCTGCCCGGAAAAAAAAAATCCCCTGCTGGGGCCAACGTATTCTGTGCGTACCCGACCCCCTCCCCCTAAGCGTATTGCGTTTTAATCTTCTAGTGGAGTTGAGTTCGGAACTTCAAATTCTCGCATTTTAGACAGGGGTATCTTTACCTACTGTTACTCTCTTTGCTAAAGATTTCCTCTTCGCTGCAGCCCACACTAACGCTTAATGGCTACTAGCACCGCCAAGGGAGGAGTCGTCATGTTCCCCATTTTGCACGAAGCGATCTTTGAGGTGCCTAAAAAGAACTCACTAGTGCCCGCCACCCAGCCCAGACAGGAGTTGGCTTGCATGGTCTCTTAGTGAACTTGTCAAATTTATTCATAGATAATAATGATAATTTTAACACTCCTTTAAGATTGAACAAACTGGTCTTTCTGAGAAATGTCACAGATAATCCTAGTTATAAATAAAATAACTGATTTGACCACCTACCAATCCTAAGTTGAGTGAGAGTAGCACAACTAATACTTATGAGGTTAACTTACTCTACTAACTAAGTTAACCATAAAGTAATATACAGTTATATGACATTAGCGGACAAGGACTCATGAGTAAATTGAAATCTATATAGAACTTGCACATCTAATAAAAGCAACCACACTAAGAAAGAAACTCGATCTACAGACTCACTAGCACCACCCACAGAGGATTGGCTGGCATCGTCTCCATACCGCAGGAAGAGGCAGTTGAGTAGCTTGACATGGTTTTTAGGCCTTTTAAATAGACATGGTCAAAATGCGATGCGATGCGATATCGCATCGCATTTTGAATTATCGCACAAAATATCGCGGCGATGCGATATTGCATCGTTGCAATTTTTTTCCCAGAAACGCGAAATCGCATATCGCGTATTACGCGCATTTTTTTTTTATTGCACAGTAGAGTGTGATATATCGCGCGATGCGATAAAATATCGCATCGCCAGGGGTAAATTTCAACGCAAAGTAAATTTCACCTGCAATTTGGATAGGTAGATAACTGGGAACTGCCGATGGGTTTCAACTTTCAAACAGGGGCACAACACTCCATTACAACATGGGGCCAAAAAATGAACAGCAAAAAAAACGCGTTAATTTTTTACATCGCATATCGCATTCTATTGCGCCCAAAAAACACGATATAAACGCGATATGGCAAAAATCGCGCGATATTATCGCATCGCATCGCCGCGATGTTTATGAAAAAAGAAAAGAAGAAGAAGAAGAAAAAAAGCCATCGCAAAATGCGATGAACCGCGATGCGATGCAATATGACCAAGTCTATTTTTAAAAGCAACCATAAGAAGCAAGTGGTTCTACAAACTCACTAGCACCACCAAGGGAGGAGTTGGCATGGTCCCCGTTTCGCAGGAAGAGGCAGTTGAGCAGCGTGATACGCCCCGTGTCCGCATACAGGGCTCCTCCTTGCCCCGCCTGATGGGGGAGATGTGGATGGAAGGGTTGTGAGTGAAGATGAAGAGAGAAGATGAAGGGGGGAGTGAGGGGAGAGGATGAAGGGGGGAGTGAGGGGAGAGGATGAAGTGGGGAGTGAGGGGAGAGGATGAAGGGGGAGTGAGGGGAGAGGATGAAGGGGGGAGTGAGGGGAGAGGATGAAGGGGGGTGTAAGGGGAGAGGATGAAGGGGAGAGTGAGGGGAGAGGATGAAGGGGGGAGTGAGGGGAGAGGATGAAGGGGGGTGTGAGGGGAGAGGATGAAGGGGGAGTGAGGGGAGAGGATGAAGGGGGGAGTGAGGGGAGAGGATGAAGGGGGGAGTGAGGGGAGAGGATGAAGGGGAGAGTGAGGGGAGGGGATGAAGGGGGGAGTGAGGGGAGAGGATGAAGGGGGGAGTGAGGGGAGAGGATGAAGGGGGGAGTGAGGGGAGAGGGGCTCGACAGAAGAGAGAAGGCAGTTGAGCAGGTTGACATGGCCCATGCCTCTATTGCTGGCCGCCCTCTGTAGCGGGCCCTGCTGCCTGCCGTGACCACCCTGATTGGCAGGCACACAGGCATGTCAAACGCAGGAGAGAGAAAAGAGGAGGATGAGGAGGAGGAGGTGATCGAGAAAGCTGACTCTAGAGGCGCCTCAAAGATTGAGAAAGCTGGCATGCGGCATGCCCGGCACTCCACGTGCAATGCCGGCAGGGCCCCCCTTGACCGAGGGGTCCATTTTTTAGGCGCCTCAAGGATTGGGAAGCTGGCATGCGGCATGCCCTGCATCCACTCCTCTGCATCCACTCCAATCCATGTGCAGTGCCGGGCTCCCCCTCGACGGAGGAGTCTATTTTATAGGCGCCTCAAGGATTGGGACAGCTGGCATGCGGCATGCCCTGCATCCACTCCGCGTGCAGTGCATGGCCATTGGGAGAATCCTCAAGATACACCTGCAGGCTGTAGATGACCCACCGCTCACATGCACAGTGTGTCAGTGTCCACGTGGCATGTGCCATTCTCCCCTTTGACCGCCCTGATTGGTGGCAACTACTCATGCCCAACCACTCATCTGGTTCTCAATGAAGGCACTGTCCACGATGCCGTACGCCACCATGAGATCCATGAACACAGTTGCTGTAACTGCCCCCTCCTCCCCCCCCTGAGTCAGGAACGTGCTGGTAAGAAACTGCAACCAACCATCCACTCACCTGGTTCTCAATGAAGTCACCATCATGAATGATGTCGTACGCCACCAGCAGGGCCATGAACATGTTGGCTGCGATGCACCTGCCTCGCCCCCCCCTGAGTCAGAAGGGCCCCCCTGAATGTAGGGCCGCCAACCAGCCAGCCACTCACCTGGTTCTCAATGAAGTCACTGTCAATGATGTTGTACGCCACCATCGGATCCATGAACATGTTGGCTGCAATCGCCCCCCCTAGCATCCGAAATGCATCAACGAAAGCCCCCCATCCCATCCACTCACCTGGTTCTCGACAAAATCGCTGTCGATGATGTCGTACACCACCAGAGGGTCCATGAACATATTCGCTGCAATCGCCCCGCCCTGGGTGAGAAACGTGTCGCCATCTGCAACTGGAGGCATCATGTTCACCGCTATGTTCCGCTCAAACCGGCTCCTCTCCACGCGCATCGGCACGCCCAGCGACAGGATCGCCGCTCCGAAGCTCGGCCCGTTGGTAACGCGGTTACGGCGGAACGTGCAGTCTGTGAAGTTCGCTGGGCCTTTCACGAAAACCAGCTCGATGGACCCACCCTGTTGGCGCATAGGGTAAGAGGAGGCGCATACATGCGTGATTGAGTGCACGAGAACACACGGAAACAGATCAGAGAGAAAGCCTTTAGCTGGTGATTGAGAATTATCAACAGGAGAGGATGGTGTGTGTGCGTGTGTGATTCAGAGAGCGAGCAAAGGTGGGGTTGAGTCAAGTCGAGAGACCAAGGCGTGGCTGTCAGTCACCCCCGGTTCATCATGGCAGTGCAGTGCGCAAAGCGGCATCGAGCGAAGGAGGAGTGAGAGAAGGAAGCGAGAAGACCGTCCCTGTAACTCGGGATCAAGGAGGTGACTTTTGAGTCGACTCGGAAGTCACCTCGGGATCAAGGATAACTCACCTGAATCAGGGCTTCGTTCTCCTCAAACGTGGTGTTGTGGAACCGTGGCTGGGCGTCCCCCTGGTGGATAGAAGGACACCGCACCTCCGGTTATGAAGCCTGAGCAGTGCGCCAAGGAGAAGGCACGGTGATCTTTGTAGCTCACCTGAATCAGGGCTTCGTTCTCCTCAAACGTGGTGTTGTGGAACCGTGGCTGGGCGTCCCCTGGTGGATAGAAGGACACCGCACCTCCGATTATGAAGCCTGAGCAGTGCGCCAAGGAGAAAGCACGGTGATCTTTGTAGCTCACCTGAATCAGGGCTTCGTTCTCCTCAAACGTGGTGTTGTGGAACCGTGGCTGGGCGTCCCCCTGGTGGATAGAAGGACACCGCACCTCCGGTTATGAAGCCTGAGCAGTGCGCCAAGGAGAAAGCACGGTGATCTTTGTAGCTCACCTGAATCAGGGCTTCGTTCTCCTCAAACGTGGTGTTGTGGAACCGTGGCTGGGCGTCCCCCTGGTGGATAGAAGGACACCGCACCTCCGATTATGAAGCCTGAGCAGTGCGCCAAGGAGAAAGCACGGTGATCTTTGTAGCTCACCTGAATCAGGGCTTCGTTCTCCTCAAACGTGGTGTTGTGGAACCGTGGCTGGGCGTCCCCCTGGTGGATAGAAGGACACCGCACCTCCGGTTATGAAGCCTGAGCAGTGCGCCAAGGAGAAAGCACGGTGATCTTTGTAGCTCACCTGAATCAGGGCTTCGTTCTCCTCAAACGTGGTGTTGTGGAACCGTGGCTGGGCGTCCCCCTGGTGGATAGAAGGACACCGCACCTCCGGTTATGAAGCCTGAGCAGTGCGCCAAGGAGAAAGCACGGTGATCTTTGTAGCTCACCTGAATCAGGGCTTCGTTCTCCTCAAACGTGCAGTTGTGGATCTGCGGCTGTGCGTCTCCTTGGTAAAAGGTCACCGCACCCCCGGTTATGAAGGCCGAGCAGTGCGCGAAGCGGCAGTGGGCAAAGGAGGCGGCTGCCGTGCTGTTGAGCTTGAGGCAGCCACCGACGCCGGTGGTGTAGTCGCTGGGAAGGAGCACAGCAGAAGATGAGAGGAAGGCCGTGTGCGATACGTCGAATGTGGACATGTAGTCGTACACTGCCCCACCCGTGGTGGACTGGTGGGGGGTGGGGAGGGGGAGACAACAGATTGGTAGGTCGGGAGTGAGAATGTCAAGGAGATGGGGAACTGGAGGTGCGAAAATATCACAGAGCCGGCACGAACCACGAGACTAGTGATCAAGCGCCCTTATCCACCCACCATGCAGCGTTGGAACGAGGAGGAGCGGATGGTCACTCTCGATTTCTCACTCGCCATGCAGCCTCCCTTGCCTAACAACTCCGGCCCCCCTGGTCCCCCCATCCCCCCATTCCACCACCCCCCATCCCCCCACTGCCTGCATCTGCAGCAGCAGCAGGATCCGCCCCTGTGTAGCAGTCCTGCATGCTCCCCTCCGTTATAAGCACACTCGATTCTAGCACGGAGAGGCCCCCGCCTACTGCTGTGGTCCCCAGGGCGCTGCAGTTGCTTATGATTAGGCCTGTAACGGCGAGTGTGGTGCGGTATAGGGCCAACCCACCCCCTGTCCGTTGGATCGGGGCAACATATGCTGCTGCATCAGCACCTGTTGCTGCTGCTGCATCAGAACCTGTTGCTGCTGCTGTTGCTGCTGCTGATGATGATGATGATGGTACCGACGCTGCAACGGCTGCTGGTGCTGCTGGCGTTGCCCTTGCGGCTGCCACTGCTGCTGGTGTTGCTGCTGGTATTGCTCTTGCTGCTGCCACTGCTGCCACTACCGCTGCTGTTGCTGCTGACGAAAACGACGATGCAGAGAAAAAGGAGGAGGATGATGGAAAAGCGGCTAAGGGACGACGAGAACCAGCGGTGGTCTGGTTGGTGGAAGGGACTTGGAAGGAGACTGAGCAGTTCCGGATGGTGACGTGGCGCATCGTGATTGGCCCCGGTGCATTGCTGATCTGCATCCCCCCTCCCGACTCAGAGGCAAAGCAGTTGGAGAGGGTGAGGTCGCTGGTGGGTGAAAGGGGGTGTGGGGGGGTGTTGGTTGGGGAGGAGAGGACGCGCGGCCCAGGGGGGTGAGAAGGGAACGAGATGACACGCCCTCCACAGGCACAACAGTTGCAGAGGGTGAGGCCGCTGATGGGGGGTGGGAGGAGGAGGAGGAGGAGGAGGAGGAGGAGGAGGAGGAGGAGGAGGAGGAGGAGGAGGAGGAGGAGGAGGAGGAGGAGGAGGAGGAGGAGGAGGAGGAGGAGGAGGAGGAGGAGGAGGAGGAGAGTGGGGGGGAGGGGGGGGAGAAGGGAAGTCATGACACGCCTCAAGAAGAATAGCAACTGGACAGGGTGGGTTGAGAGCAAGGGATGGGGTGTGTTAAGATTGTGCAGGGTGCTTCTGAGAATTCTCAAAAGACGCCCTGCAAAAGCAGCTGGAGAGGGTGGGTTGAGAGAGGGATGGGTGCGTTACGATGCCTCGAAGTTACATCTGGACAGGGTGGGTGGGTGGGGTCACTGGTGAGATGGCAGGGGATTGGACGGGCGGAACAGAGAGCAGAGCAGCAAGAGAAGTTCCCAAGACCGCGCCCAGCACTAGCGAGCAACAGTATGCCAATGCATTAGCATGCTGAGCCATTAGCAGCAGATAATAAAAAACAGTGTAGGCAGGGAGGGAGCCACCACGACTGCAAGATGAATCATGAATCCACACCACAGTTACCGCCCTCTCTCACCCAGGTTTGCTCCTCCTGGGCTTTGCTTACTGTTTGCCCATTTACCTTTTTTTTTCATAGGACCACACAGCACTGCTCTCATACACACATGACTGACTGCCCTCTCTCTCATACACACATGACTGACTGCCCTTCCTCACACACATGAGTGTGCCCTCACCATAGCACCGCGTTTACTCTTCGGAATAGCATGCACCCGCCCTTGCTGCCTTCCCCCTCTCACTTCAGCGCGGCATTCACTCGTTGGAGCAGCATGCGCCCCCCCTTGATCTTTTCGAGGCACCTCAGAAACCATAACGCCTTCACACATGACTGACCTCCCTCTCACCTCAGAAACCATAACGCCTTCACACATGACTGACCTCCCTCTCACCTCAGAAACCATAGCGCCTTCACACATGACTGACCTCCCTCTCACCTCAGCACTGCGTTCACTCCTTGGAGCAGCATGCACCCGCCCTTGCTCCTTGACCATCCATTCACTACGTGCAGGCGAGAGATCGTTATGAGGGACCTGCTGCAAGTTGAATCCAGAGGCGCTGCTGCTGCCGTTGCTGCTGCCGTTCCTGATTGCAGCATTGCTCCTTTTGCGGATTCTCCTACAGCTGTCTCTGTAGCTGTCGCTATACCCGTTGCTACAGCATCCCCAGTGCCAGCAGCACCAGGCGCATCAGGAGGAAAACGGGAGGAGGGGGAGGAGGAAAAGGAGGGGAGAGGAGAGGGGAGAGGGAGAGCAGCAGGGGTGGTGATGGTGGTGGAGGGGCAGAGGGCTTGGAAGCAGGGGCCGTAGGAACAGTCAATGAGGGCGGGGGGGAGGGTGAGGGGGGGCCGAGGATGGTGAGACGTTGGTGGGGCAAGAGGAGGGGCGAGGGGGAGGCGTGGGTGTAGGAGCCTGATGCGATGTGAATAGTGGCGCCCTCTGACGCACTGTGGGGGGGGAAATGGGGGAAGACGGGGAGGAGGGCATCAGTATGGGGGCGGGGGAGGGGAGTGGGCAGGCGGAAGGAGAGGCAGAGGAGTGGGTCTAGGTGCCTGACGCGATGTGAATGCAGCGCCTGCTATGGACCTATGGTACTGTGTGTGAGGAGGTAAAGGTTGCAGTGCAGCAGTGCAGTGCAGAGGGGCAAAAAGGGGTTGAAGTCATGCACTCTTATAAGATAGCCCATTAATAAGCAGAAGAAAGGAAATGTGGAGGTTATATCCATGTAAACGAGCAGTGTGGATTCGAGGCTCAGTCATGCTTCCTAAAGGGAACGGAGGTAGAAGGAATTATGAACTCCGAAGCACCTTGATACAATGACGCAGTGCATGAAAAAGGGACAGGGAGGTGCTGGGAGGTGCTGGGAGGTACTGGGAGGTGCTGGGAGGTGCTGGGAGGTGCTGTGAGTTGCTGGGTGGTGCTAGGAGGAGGAGAAAGGTGCCATACCTGTTAAGCGCTGCTTGTACGGAACCTGCGCTTGTGATTAAGAGGAGAGACGGAGACGAGTGAGGGGGGGACAGGCGAGGGGGGGGGAGGGGGAAGGAGGGAGCGGGAAGGGGAGGGGGTAGGGGGTAGTCGTGCGGAGGAGAGAGAGGACTTGTCAAGAGGGGAGGAACGATAAGTGGGAGGGAGACAGGTAGTGGAAGGTGGCTACTCGTGGACGAGAGCCAAGTCAAAGCGCAGAGGCAAGAGCAGTAACGTTCTTCTCTTCCCGGCAGCCGAGGAAGAGACAATAAGCGCTTCTCATGTTGCAACATGTGCCTCACGTTGCAACATGCGCCTCACGTTGCAACATGCGCCTCACGTTGCAACATGTGCCTCACGTTGCAACATGCGCCTCACATTGCAACATGCGCCTCACATTGCAACATGCACCTCACATTGCAACATGCACCTCACGTTCCAACATGCGCCTCACATTGCAACATGCACCTCACATTGCAACATGCACCTCACGTTCCAACATCATGCGCCTCACACGCACCCTTCACACATATGTTTCCATTACCGCAAGCCTGCCGAGGGCTCTGGCCACAGCAGCCTGTGAGGAGCCCGCCCTCTCCTCAGCAGCAGATGCACCTCGCGTTGCAATGCAACATGCGCCTCGCGGTGCAACATGCGCCTCGCGGTGCAACATGCGCCTCGCGTTGCAACATGCACCTCACGTTGCAGCATGCGCCTCGCATTGCAACGTGCGCAACGCACCTGTCATAGTTGCAAGTAGGGGATCCCTTACCGCATGCCTGCTGAGGGTTCTGGCCGCAGCAGCCTGTGAGACGCCCGCCCTCGGCCACATGCACGGTGGCGGTGGGAGTGGGACAGGTGGTACCTGGGACAGGGGGGAATCGGGGTGGGTTAGGAAGAGGAAATGAGGGGTGTGAACACAAAATCCTCTTTGAAACCACCCCCTTCTGCCCCACTGGCGGTGGCGGTGGGAGTAGTACCGGCCATAGCTGGGGGGGGGGGGGTCGAGGTGGTTGACGAGAGGAATGGAGGGGGAGGGGCAGAAAACATGAGGCCAAAGAAGGGCCATTGAGGCATGCTGTAAGAAGGGCCCCTCATGAAATGAAGTTTCTTTTTTTGGATTCTCAAACCCCCATGTAGTTCTGAGTCCACTCAGAATACACCTTTTGAGCCGTCTCAAAATACACCCACGTACACAGTGGCGGTGGGAGTGGTGTTGGTATGTGGGGAAAGCAGAAGGGGGGTGAAGGCGGGGGTATTCCCGTCCCACGCGTCAGGCTAGCGTCAGGGGCGGAATGAGAGGAGCATGGGTGAGTCGTTTCAAAGGTGTATGGTGAGAATCTTCTAAATGCACCTACAGCGGGGGGACGAGAGGCGCATCCGCGAGTAATCTCAATACCATTACTTCCATCGCCGCATTGAGTACTATGCGAGCACTCGTTAAGTACTATTCGGCCTGCTAAACGTGAGCACGGGGTGTCAGGGAAGCGATTTTTGAGGCGCCTCAGGGAAGCGTGATCGGCTAAAAGTGAGCACGGGGTGTCAGGGAAGCGTGAGCACGGGGTGTCAGGGAAGCGTGAGCACGGGGTGTCAGGGAAGCGACTAACCTGTCGCTCCTTGGGATGACACCAGTCGCTGCTGCTCAACCAGCAGCTCCAAGACCCCGAGACCTATTGAGTTGACTCAAAAGTCACCTTTCACGGTGTATTGCTCGGCCTATTGCTCGGCCTCGCTTATTACTAACCTGTCGTCGCCCCCTGGCATGACACCAGCCGCTGCTGCTGAACCGCTAGCAGCAAGAGCACGACACCCATGAACGACCCTCGTGCGTCGCGTACACGACCCATTGGACGACGATGAAGGGAAAGGGTTACCATCAAGCGTTACCACCACAAGACCTATAGGCCGGTACAAGCAATTCCCGAGGTCCCTGATAACACGCGGTGCTAACACGTGACGCTAGCGTGCAGTAAAGAGCGCCGCTCTCCTCTCTAACAGCGACATTTGCGTTTAGGAATTCCTAAAATGCAGAAGCGAACCACGTATCCCTCGTAAAGAAGTTTCAAAGAGCTTCGACCTCCAGCTAGATTTAGTTAGGGAGAAACATATCCTGAGATCTTACGCACGCGAATGCATGCTCCTTAGCTAACGTGGGTCGTTACCCTTCACGGCTATCGTCACTCTGTTACTAAGCACAAGCAAATGCATGCCGACAGGAGTGGAATGCGGCAACTATTGCTCTGAGCTAAACACTTTGTTAGGAGAAACTACAGCAGTAGGCGCCGATAATGCACCGAACAGCTAGCTTAGTAAGGAACTTCCAGTCGGCACTGGTGATGGTAACACTGCTTCGTCAAATCGCTAAATCCAAAATCCGACTTGGCACGACATGTTCAAGCTTCGCCAAACCGACTGCTTCTCGCCATCCTTGTTCGCTCGTCGGAGAACGTGTGCCTGCCAAAGGACTGAGCTTGACCATCCGTTATTGAGCAGACTCAAAAGCCTTAACAATACGGGAGTCCCTGTAAAAAGCCGGAAAAATACATTTTTAACCCCTCTGTTATCAACTAAATTCTTAGTCAAGACCACGCCCATAGTCTCGTTGTAGGGGTGCTGTTTGCTCGGGCCTGCCCTTGTGAGAACCCTGTTTTTCTAAAGTTTTTATTTATTTCTTCCATGAAAATTAAGGCACTGGTTTTTGAAATGTAGACTGATGGCGTGTCCCGTTTGTTCTACTAATCATTCGTGGGATTGTTTGATAAGAATGGCAGACTAATCGTGGAACCCGACTGATGAAACGTATTCCAAATTCGATTAGTTTAAAGCGTGCGGACTACAATGGGCGTCAAGGGTTCACAGTGTTAAATTATATATTTGTTATATAATTATAGGCTTGGTAGCTGTTACTAAAAACCTATTATAAAGGGTACAACACCCCCTCCTTGTATCCCTCTCTCTTCTATTCTCACTCTTTTTTCTCTCGTTAACTTTCTCCTAGCTAAACCCTCACGCCATTCCATGACTTCCTAACTACCTAGTCTCGTGACACGGTATCAGAGCAGGTCGCTCTTCCCGGCCTACTCCCACGCTTCCGCGTGTACTCGTTCGTCGTTCGTCCCTGCCGGGCCGCCATCGCGGCCATGCCGAGCAGTCGTTGCTGCGTCGTGGTGCTGCCGTCGCAGCCCCGACGCGTGGCGTTGACGCCACACCGCTACGACGGCGTCGTGCTGCCGTCGCAGCGTCGACATCCCGCCGTGGCAGAGATACGCGCTGTGGCGGCGTCGTAATGCTGCGGTGGCGGCGTTGTCGGGCGGCAGCCGGCCGCGCAACGTCTGTGGCGCCGCCGGACCTGCCGTCCGCACGCCAGCCACGGGCGTGAGGCAGGACCTCCCCCCCCCTTCCCCTGCGTCCTCTTCCTCGCCGCAGACGACGGTTGACTCCCGCCGGCCGTCCCACCGTCGCGGGGGCCTGGCCATGCCACTGAGAGGTGCGGGCGCCGCCGCGCCGCCGCTGTTGTCGAAGCCGCCACCGCCGCCGCTGTCACCGCTTGCGTTGGGGCCACGCAGCCGCACGC